CACACTTCATTTTCAGGCCACTCCACCTCCCTTCAACGGGATCGTGGAGACGACGTTCACATCGCAAGTACAGTCTCAGGCGCTAGAGCTGGAGCTGCGGGAACTTCTGTCCAAAGACGCTATTTCCCGAGTCCCTCGCGGACAAGAACTCTCGGGTTTCTACTCCCGCTACTTCGTAGTACCGAAGAAGTCGGGAGGAATGAGGCCGATTCTCGACCTGTCCCTGTTCAACTGCTCCATAGCAGTAATGCATTTCCGCATGTTAACGATGAGACAAGTCCTGGAATATGTGCGCCCCGGGGATTGGTTCACGTCAATCGACCTGAAAGACGCATACTTCCACATACCAGTAGTTCCAAACCACCGGAAGTTTCTGCGTTTTTCGTTCAAGGGAGTTCAATATCAGTTCAATCGCCTCCCTTTCGGCTACTCGCTAGCCCCGCGCACTTTCTCCAAATGTCTGGAGACCGCGCTGCAGCCACTGCGCACGGAGGGAATGAGGGTCTTATTTTACCTGGACGATCTTCTCCTGTGCGCTCGGTCCGAGGACGAGGCGTCACAGCAAACCAGGAGGTTGACAGAGCATCTGTCAACCCTAGGGTTTTCTATAAACTGGGAAAAGAGCTCCATCCTTCCATCCCAGTCGATTGTGTATCTCGGGGTGGAGTTGGACGCCTCCCTAATGAGAGCACGTTTGTCGCCTGCAAGAGCGGCAGATCTCTCCACGGTGATCTCCCGTGTTCAACCCCGCAAGGTCGTGAGAGCCCGGTTAGTCATGAAACTCCTGGGCATGATGTCCGCAGCCCATTCAGTAGTGCCGCTAGGTTTGCTGCGCACGAGGCGCTTGCAACGCTGGTTCGTCCGCCTCCGGGTACACCCAATACGTCAGAAGAGACGTATGTTGAGGATTCCCCCTTCAGTGGACGGGGACCTCGCTCACTGGGGGAACCCCTGCATCCTCTCACGCGGGGTTCCCATCGGACGTCCTGCGTCACACGTATCTGTGTTTACGGATGCGTCACTGTCGGGGTGGGGGGGCACGTGCTTGTCCCACACGGTGGCAGATCGCTGGCCCTCCCACACGCACGAGCACATAAATGTGTTGGAGCTTATGACAGTGAGGAATGTGATCAGACACTTCGCTGCCCTTCTCGAGGGCCGTCATGTCGAAGTTCACACAGACAACCGGGTAGCGGCAGCCTACATAAATCGCCAAGGGGGAGTTCGATCCCTCCCACTGTTGCGTGTCGCCACAGATTTACTGTGTTGGACACATATCCACCTGCTGTCCATCAGAGCCATCTACATTCCGGGGGTACTGAATGTAGCGGCAGACATCCTGTCGAGAGGGGGACCCCGCGACTCCGACTGGCGTCTACATCCTGCACTGATATCACAGATCTGGATCAGGTTCGGGGAACCGTCTGTGGATCTGTTCGCGGCTCGCGAAAACGCTCAGTGTCGCCTGTGGTTTTCCCTGAGTCCCCGGGACGGACCCCCGCTCGGGGCGGACGCCTTCTCACACCAGCCCTGGCCTCGAACGCTCCTTTACGCGTTTCCACCAGTCCCTCTGATTCCCCGTCTCCTGGACCGAATTCGGTCGGAACAGCTCTCGGTGATTCTGGTGGCTCCCAGGCGCGTGTCCGCGTCATGGTTTCCGGACCTGCAAGCGCTAGTGTCCGGCTCCCCGTGGAGGCTCCCGTGGAGGGCGGACGCCCTTCTCCAGGCGGATGGGATAATCAAACATCCTCCGGAAATAGGCCAACGGCTGTGGGTCTGGCCGCTGAGCGGTCACGCTTAGAGGCTTCTGGGCTACCGCATGATGTGGTGGCCACGATTCAGAGTGCGCGGGCACCCTCTACCATTGCCTCTTACTCTGCTAAATGGGCAGCTTTCCAGAACTGGTGCGCAGAACGGAATGTTCAAGCGCTCTCCTGCCAGCTGGCGGATGTCCTATCATTTCTGCAGATACTGATGGACAGGGGCCTCGCATTCAGCACTGTTAAGACATATGCTGCAGCTATCTCATCATGTCATCAGGGTTTTGGAGATAGATCTGTTTTCAATCATCCCCTCACAAAACGTTTTCTAAAAGGTGTCAGAAGGAACAGACCTGTGTCCCGCCCGCTTTTTCCCCAATGGGATCTAACGGTGGTTCTGCACGGCTTATCTGAAGCTCCATTTGAACCCTTGGACCAGGTCTCACTCAAGTTCCTGTCGCTTAAAACTGCATTGCTGCTGGCGCTAGCATCAGTTAAGAGAGTGAGTGACCTAACCGCCCTCTCAGTGGCTCCCGCATGCCTCAGGATCCGGGAGGATGGCGGGTCTGCTGTTTTATGCCCCAACCCAGCCTTTGTGCCCAAAAGCATTAATGCTTCCTTCAAATCCAGGTCAATTTCATTGGCTGGACTTTTTCCTCCTCCCCATAATTCTGAGGAGGAGGCGGCTTCTCACCTTCTCTGCCCGGTGCGCGCGCTTGCACGATATGTGTCACGCACTTCAGGGATTCGTCGCTCACAAAACCTGTTTGTGCACTACAGGGAGTCTTCCCTTGGTCAGGCGCTGTCGGCCCAGCGCCTTTCACGCTGGCTGTGTGACGCCATTTCCCTCGCTTACACATCATCAGGGCGGGATCCCCCTGAGGCACTCAGGGCTCACTCGGCCAGAGGGATTTCCTCTTCGATGGCGCTCCTCAGTGGTGTGTCAATGGAAGACATTTGTCAGGCTGCTTCATGGGCTTCACCCTGTTCCTTTACTCGTTATTATTTACGAGATGTGTCTTCAGGTTCCATCACTCGTTCAGTGCTTGGACCCCAGCAGGCTAAATGAATGCTTATGGCACCTCATTGGCCTTGCTGAGATGGATTTTATCCTCTTGTGGATGATGTTTTTTAGTGGGGGCCCCTCTCTTATCGTGCCTGCCTCAGTCTTTAGGCCTGGTCTGAGGCTGAACGTCCCCCACTAGAGGAGATTTGATTGGGTGTGTCCATTGGTTGTGTTAACAAGTGGGGCGTAAACCCATCCAGCTGCGCTTTATTCCAATAGCAGCTAGCTTAAGGGCTAAGACTCGACGAAATAGAACGTTGGTTACGTATTGTAACCCCAGATTCTATGAGTCTAGTCGCAGCCCTTAAGCCACTGGCCCCACTGGTTATGATGGGAATAAGAGCCATTGGAGGTGAGCAGTGGGGTCACTGCGGTTATATACCACGAGGGGGCCCACTATTGGTGGGCGTACATTTAAGCTCTTCATGATTGGCTGATGCGGAGATCATCCTTCCAATAGCAGCTAGCTTAAGGGCTGCGACTAGACTCATAGAATCTGGGGTTACAATACGTAACCAACGGTCTCCCGAGAGCTCCACAAGCCAGCAGCCGCACAGCAGACAAGCGCCGCTGCGATCTGAGATGCGCAGAGCTGCCGCTGGGGAGGACCAGGTGGAAAGGTTTCCATCCAGAGCTCCTCAAGCCGGCAGCCCGCGCAGCGCACAGAAGCCGCGATCAGACAGAGATGCGCCGAGCTGCGGGGAGAGGAGAAACGAGTGGAAAACATCGGTTTCCTGAGAGCTTCACAAGCCGATAGTCAGAACCCAGCTCCATCAACATGTTATATTTCCACCCATTTTCTAAAGTGCAGCATTATGTTAAATGCACTGGGTTTTACCCTATTACATTTAAATTTCATGGTTAAACAGTACATGTTAAAATCTAAGCTCAGCTCGGCAGTGACCTAAAATACATAAATACAATTTTACTTACCAAAAAAAATGAAGTGGAGACTCCTTGGACGCTCTATTAGTGCAATTAATGCCACAGCAAGTCCTTTTGTCCAACAATTGCACAAATAATATCCAAACAAGAATACACACACACAGAGACTCAAAATCCCGGAACAGTTTCCAAGCCAGACCGAGGCTCTACTGAGGCATTTCCACGGAGCTAGCTCTGTGGTCACGTGGGTCTGATGCTCTTTAATTATACAGAATTTTAGGCTTTTAATACACTTAAACAGAAGAGTGAGAAAAAATTCACCCCCCTCAGAGTTGTCATGAGTGTAAACTAGATCATTTAAACCAAAAACATGTTTTGGTACCAGGCTGTAAACATGTTTATTTCTGCTGTGAAATTGGTATTTTTAACATGGGAGTCAATGAGGATTTGCTCGCTTCTGACACCAGCCCCTAGTGGATGAGGGTGGAACTGCAATTTTTGGTACTTCCGGGTTGGACTCAATTTTTGAGCCGCATTGTGGGGGCTTGGGTGAGAGGGAATTGCACAAACTGAAGCCAAAACGCATCAAAACGCCCTCTAGTGGCTGGCTGCTATTTAAAATTTAAGTCTTCTCCTTCAACTATTTTCATGACTAAAAGTTGTAATGAAATATATATATTTTAAATGTGTTGACTGCTGGTGTTTCATGTTTGACTCTGTAAGAGCACCATTAATTTGTTTATATCTTGGACTAAAATGACAAAGGACCATTCTATTCTATATAGATGTGACCTCACTGCTGCATGTTCCACTATTCTTATTATAAATGACATTTAGTTCTAAGTACTGCTGTTTCACATCCTGCAGCCATCACAAGTTATTTGATGGTTTAGAAAGGGTGTGACTGTGTACAGGTCTAATGCTCCACATATCAAATCAACTGTTTGTCACAATCCCACTGAGCAGATTTTAATGAAACTTTCAGGAAGTAATCCCTTCATTTCACATAATTAATAAAACCCTCGAACTTTTATAATGCATTGGCACACATAACCACATGCTTTACATTCAATAAAGGTGGAAATATATTTTATTATGCTATGATATTTCTGTCATTCATGAGGGCTGTATGAAGCACGAATTTGGTCCTTGATAATCCAAGCCAAACATATCTACCATCTATTTTCTGTACCTACTTGAACATTTGTGAGATGAAAAGAGGCTAGAGCCCATACTGACTGGTCAAGAGGTGAGGTAAACCTTGAATGAGTCAATGCACACAGTACAGATTATGACAATAAGCTCTTACCAGTGCCTTTTATTGCACTAATACACGCTTTGCAACTATGTGCTGTGCAAAAATAAAGAGAAAGAGCATAATGCCCATGAACACACACTTTTTCTGCACTTTCAACACAAGGTTTCCATCTGTTATTTAATTAAATGTTCAAACACCAACCACTAAAAAAGCCAATTCAAATTCTGATATGAATTTACATAACATGGAAATCACACCATATGGCATTGTATAGAGTATGTACACACCACTACATTTACACTTATACCATTCAGCTTATAAAGTTCTTGGTATTGTCTGTAACAAATGCACTTAATATAACAAAGCACAATAAAAAGTAACTGTTGATTTACGTGGGTCAAACTTTTTTTTTTTTACGCACTTCGAGTATCTGAAGAGAGTTGAGTCATCTTAGGGAAATAAATCATTGCCATTTGCTTTTGGGGAACAAATTAAAAGAGAACCTGTGTTGTACACGACACAATGTAGGCTGTTTGCTTACATATGCAAGTGTTTATAAAAATGATGCTTTTGTCATTGGCTTTCAGTCCAATCTGATTGGGTTTTCAGCCACTGGAAAAATAAACATTTGGAAAATTCCCTCCAGATTACTGATATGGACTCCTTTGGCTGGATATATTTGCACACACACACACACACACACACACACGCACACACAACTTGGACTGCGATGTAGATGTGAGTGCAGTCACCTATGAGGCGGTTTATCTGAAAACATGGGAATGCAGCTTGCACTTTATTTAAAATCACAATCTGACCTAAAACACATAAAAAGATGTATGTTAGAAAATACACTGATGTCTATGCAGTAGATAGAGGCCTGTACTACGAAGCAGGAATAGTATTAGTGAGGTAATTCAGCAATTTTCAGTGTCCCGAGCTTTGTGTCACCAACATCATTCACACTAAAGCTAACCTGCTCAAAGAATGATTGCAGCGTTAAGGTTGGTTTATGCTTGACGCGTTCGCGAAGTCCGCACGGCTCCGCGCGGAAAAATTGCGTCATTTTAACAATCACGCCCCTCCACCGCGCCTCCGCACGGCCCAAACTTTCCGCACTGCGCACCTAGGAAATTTTCTAACCACGCGGATGGTCGGACGTGGAAAAACATGGCGGACCGGCAAGAACTAGTATGGCAGAGGTTCGTAAATACAGACATTTGTATGATTCAGCTCTCAAAGATCACCGTGATCAACATGTTGTGAGTAATTCTTGGAGAGAAATAGCTCGCACTGTCGGAAAAGACGAGGACACTGTTAAAAAATGCTGGAATGCCATGTTGTAAACAACAGTAATTTTTACTTCTACTATGGTGTAGTGTTGGATGCATGCCGTAGAGCTCCATGCTGCCCCCTACAGTTTGGGAGAATATTGGCTCACCGCAGAGACAAGCCGCATGAACCATAAACGCTGCAAGTTGTGAAGCGCGTTCCATCCGCGAGCTGCATCACCAAGCGGAAAGTGAATGCCTCAAGCATAAACCAAGCTTTAGGCGCTTTGGAGTCCTCTGACTTCACCGATGCAGGATATTTGACCTTAAACCCTAATTTTTACTTCTCCATGAGCTACGCGAGGGAGAGACACTCATTCACGAGACATTTTACTTTGAACTTCTTCGTCTCCTGGACAGTGTTAAAAAACAATTCCCCGCTAGGACAACAGCGTGCATAGCGCTATTCCTGCCACGTACCGTTACAGTTACGTATCCGGTCCATGATAGGATATTTACTCTAGTTTACATTGCTTTATTGTATTTCAGAGCAATTTAAGCACGATGATTTCATATCTCATTCTCTTCCAACTCTTAATGCGATTGGCATCTCTAAACCCAAGTTTTCCGACTTTTCCGTCCACAAATAAAATTGCTTGCTGCATATCTTTGTACTCCTTCAGTCACGGTTGAAAACATATTTTCAGACTTTTTCCGTGAGGCATTCTTCAGTCTGTTCTGTGTCTGCCGTTAAACATTGTTTTTTTTTTTGGAGGGAACAATGGCAGTGCTGTTGACAAATTTAAAGAAAGCGGCATCCTGACCAATCAAAAGCTGGCAGTCTCCATTATGTTTGATGGATATTTAAAAATGTGGGCGTGTCTCTGCGAGCCAATCGGAGGGCCCTTGCGCCGACGCATAATTCCGTTGCATGTCTCTGTACCCACGCAGATGGAGGAGTTAAAATTAGGCTTAAATTTACTGAAGTAAAGCCCTCATTACTACAGACAAAGCCCCGATCCATCAGCCCATGTCTTGCTCCATCCTATCAGTCACAAGCAAAACACCTAAGTACTTGATTTGTGTTGCTTAGGACAAGGACTCAATCCCAACCCTGAGAGATCCTTCCAACTTTTTCCCATCTGAGACCTACAATATATCCTCAGATTCAGCTCTCGTTGTGGTTTTTTTCACCTTTGGCTGGAAACTACCCTGGTGTATACTAAAGATCACAGCCTGATGTCTTAGCTATTTGCAGATGAGTCATGGCCTTTTAGTGTGCCACTTTAAAACAATACCTTCTTCTTTTGTTTTGGGCCTTCCCCATTAGGATTGGCTCCACACCGCCCGGATAGGTAGCCTGACCCCGGAAGAACAAAAATAATGAATGCAAGTCATCTGGGCTAAAAACGCTATTTTCTCATCCGCTTTGCCTTACGTCCTGGACAGCAATTTAAATGAAAAGTAATGATGGGTGTTTCAACCTCGCCACTCACATTCTTTGAGATTCATCAGCTTCTAAAAGTTCATAATAAGCATGTCTACACACCAGAAATTGGCAAGTTGCATATGTGATGTTACCGCATAATCTCCTCTCCCCTAATGTAGCTGCTCCTTACCAAATGACCAGATTTATGGTGGTTCTTTCCTCCTGTGGGAAGATCGCTGAACTTACAGCCCTTTTCCCTCAGTTTTCTCCGTGTCTGGTTCGATAACGTCACTTTTGTGAAGCGCATTTGTAGTCCTGGACTTATTTTCACACAAAACCTAAAATAGCATTTTCCCCCATTCAAAAATAAGCGTGTTCTTGGTATCAAAATGTGTCCAAGGCACAAAACAAGCAGAATTAGAAATTAGCGTTTTTAGCCCCATTGACTTGCATTAATTTTTTTGTTCTTCTGGGGACCCATGGTCCGGAAGTAGATGGGCGTGACTTAAGCCCTTTTCAGATAGACATTCTGGAACATTTGTGGACAATTCAATCCGGTTTTTAACCGGAACTGTGTTTTCAGACACACCACTTTTGTACCGGAACTTGTCCTTTCGGCTGCGTTCACACAGCAGGGTAAAGTTCCAGATGTCTGACGGCGGCGGGGGGTGGGATGGGGGTGGGGGAGAATCGGACTTATGTTAAGAAGAAGAAGAAGAAAATATCGTTTCTACAGCGCCTCTCAAGATAAAAATCACGAGGCGCTTAAGCATAATTCTGCGCACACGAAGACGCATAAGAGACCTGGATGATGAAGCTCAATGGTTAAAGGAATCACTGAAGCGGTGTGAAGCGCTCCGTCGCACGTCTAGGCGGTACCGTAGGAGGCGAGCTGCCGTGGTTCGCCGCATGCTACAGCAGCGGGCTGCGCACAGCGTCCCCCGGTCCCCTCCTCCTCCCCCTCCCCATTGTCCGGAACTTTACCTCACCAGTCTGAAGCAGCCACCCTGTCCGTAACATGTCCGGACCTGTTACTAGGGGCTTCGTCCGGTAAAATTCCGGAACACGTTATCCGGATGTTTGTATTCAGACACAAAGGTCTTACGGACAGAGTCCGGAACATTTCCGTTTTTCATGGCCTGTCTGAAGGGGGCTTCAGGCTCCCTATAGCCCCAGCCAGCCCCTGCCTGGCCCAGTTATTTACACACGTCCTTGCTTAGGAATGCAAGGAAAGTAGTCAGAGATGTTCTCTCTAGGTAATCAGCATGATAATGAATTGTGCATGCTGTAAGCCCACGTGGGCTGTTTCTACCCACCAGTCGGAGGCTTCCCCTAGTGGGAGGTGTGAATTTGAGCCGGCCTATTAGTCAGCTGTGGGTGTGTTGGCCCTGGTCATCCTGAAGCAGACCACCTTGGGAAGAGGGCTGAAAAACAGTCCGGTTGCACCCTGAAAAAAGACAGGCTTTGCTAATGTGGACACTCTCTATGCTATCCAGACCATGCGGAGCTGATGCTAGTGCGGATGTCCCATTTGTGTATTTTACAACGTTTCTTTTTATTCTTTAGCTGCGATAGGTCATTTGATGCTAATGCCACTGTTTTTCTTTTCATGCACATTCAGATATGCACACCTGGATTGGCTTACAAAGTTGATAACCAGGTTTGCAGAAATAGATCTTCGTTATTAGTAAAACTAAGGTTTTGTAAAGATAACCTGCTTCATAGTTCAGGTCTCTTGTCGACACCCAGTTTGACAAACCTCACAAATATGACTTGTCTTCTACTTTATCTGTAATCCACAAAGAAACATTTGACAAGTTGTTTCTATTCAGACATTCACTTGATGCCGCCTTTGGCCACATGTTTCAACATTTAGCTCTTCAAAGTGATTAGCTTTTATCTGAAAGATCAAATTAAAGCACAAACTGAATCTGACATGAAGGAATGGTGCTTTCTCCAGAAAGAAAATAGTGAATGAAGACCTCTCAGCGGTGTGGCTGCATGGTCTGTGTGAAGTGAGAGACGTTTACATGACAAATTGGTACATGCAGAATATCAAGACAAGTGGGATGAGAGGACCGGGATGCACTGCCAGGGTCCACCCATCAGATGGGGTTCAGTTTTCCTTGTTTGTGGAAAGTCTAAAAAGAAAAATCCACTGTTTTTGGGAAACCATTCACAGGAAAGCCGGAGGGATGAATGAGGGACGAGTGAGGATCCAGGCAGAGTAAGGGAGTTTAACGACAGAGTTAGTTCTCTTTAGGATCTTTTTTCCTTTTTACAGCCTATCTCTGTTGAGTCAGTCAGAGTCTCCTCAGATTGTGCTCCTCTGTGCAGGAGCCTTTTCTCAAGGTCATGTCGTCCACAACCATCTCTCCACTTCTGCCTCGCCCACGTTCCCCCTTCAGGATCACCTGAGGAACAGCAAGAGATGTTTTCACTGTAGGAACGCCGCTGCATGCTTGTATACAATCAAAGGTAATTTACAGATTGTGTCTGAATTTGTTTCTTAAAGGGACTTTATGGACTTTTGAATTTTTATGCTCGCGATTGCCCCCTCAGGCCAAAAGTGTAACGGCAGCTTCAATAGTAGGCTCGTGCATGAGGCGCGCATGCTGTACGTGCACACTCCTTAACGAAAATAACAGCTGAGACAGTCCCTTGTGTGTGTGTGTGTGTGTGTGTGTGTGTGTGTGTGTGTGTGTGTGTGTGTCCTAACATTTCTCTCGGTGTGGGTTCCCATGGGTGGGAGCACACCCACCTAAGGAGGTCCAAAATCCAAGTGGGGCCCAAAATGGTGGACCCCACTCCGATTTCAATTAAAATGAGCTCAGCAGCCTCCCCTGATGCTACCATTGCTTTTTTTTTCATGTCAAAAAATTGTCCCCTAAGGTAGCAAAAAGTGGGCAAGTGTGTAAAGGTGTGTATCCTGCAGCCGACCGTAACCGGAAGTCAGGATATACACTTCCCGCAAAATCTTATACACACCGCGGGAGTCTGAAACCTTTGGCCAATGACATTGCTGCACTGAGGAAAACTACCGGAAGTTCACAACAAGAAGAAAACAACACGGATTGAAGACAAAAAGACGACGGAGTGATTGGATTATTTTGAATATTTTTACATTTACCGACCTCTGCATGCAGCAGGTAAGCTAGGCATGGTTCAGAAGAGTTTATATTTTGGCGTTCTGTTGGGATGTATTTAAGCTGGCTGCCATGTGGCTAACTTTAGCAACATAATATTATAAATAGTTCGTTGTTTACTCACCCAGACAAGTTTGGAGTTATTTGGAGCCGCTCAGAAGGAGTTTTTTTATCGAGTCGCCATCAGCTTATATCCATATAATGCCAATGGGAGCAAAACTGCAGGAGTTGTTGCTGCATTATCTGCCCTCAAACTCCTTCATTTAACCAAGTGTTCTTATTAAACGTTAACACTACTCCCATCGGAGTTCAGAAAATCTCGTAAGTGTTTATTTGTTCGGTTTGGGGTGATTTCAAGGCAAAAATACAACAATATTGTGCGATTAAAACAGCGTCACGGCCAGTCGCCATCTTGGTTGTAGTCCGGCCAGCACTTTAACTCTGTGCTCTGCAACGGTCGGTTTGACAGAACTTGCTGCTGTTGACATCAGTGTAGTTCGGGATTGCGTGTTTCCAAATTGCAATAATCGAATGACCAATTGGACTAAATTCAGCTTCTACAGACTCTTTCAGCAACCTACGCGGACTACAGCCGTAATGGCGGAGGGCTGCAACGTTATTGAAATCTCAGTTGGAATCGGTTGCATTAAAAGCCTGTAAAACTCCAGAAGCTAATATGTTAGCACCTTTGAGACGTGCTGAACTCACAGAGGAATTTTTTTTAACTATTCTCAACAAAACATTGTTAAATGAAGGAGTTTTGGGGCAGATAGTCTTATAATATCCTGCCCTGATAGGCTCCCATTATATGGATATACAGTGATAGCAACCTGATTAAAACTCCTCCTGAACTACGCCAAGTAGGTCCACACTTGTCTGGGTGAGTAAATTAACGTAATATTTGTTAAAAAAGTTAGCCTGGCCAGCCAGACTCGCTCTGTGCATAATTCAACAGAGTGAGTCTGGCTGGCCAGGCTAAAAAAAAATAAGGTCCAGGTTGAAAATGCTGCATGTGTCAGTGATGTTGTTGTACCAGAAGTTTGACAGCCCTAGTTTAGATTAGTGACTGAGTGTCTTTGCAGCACAGCTTGGTTATTATATAACAAACTAACTTCTTGGCTTCAACAGGCTCGGTCAGCTCTCAGTGTACACATTTCAGAATTTGTATATTTCATTATCCTGTGTTTGATGTTAAACAATGTGCATCATGCAATAGCAAAGCTCAATGCACAGCTGCTGTATGTGTGTTTGTATGAATGTTCTAGATTTTATTTTTCTCTTGCTATTTTTCAAAAACCTTTCTGTGAGATTTGCCTTGACTAAGTACTAATTACGATTATTTTCACAGAGCCATTATGTCCACAAGAAAGAGGAGGAAAAAGCCTATAGATGATGCAAAGACACACATCCTGTCCTGTACTGACAAGGTTGGGTTTATGTCGAGATACATTGACGGTTACAAAGGTAATTTGCGAAAATTTCTTGACACAACTTGTGTTTTTCAAAAGCAAAGCAGTTGACAAGTTGACAAGTAATTAAAATTGCGCCCACATTTTCAAAGTTAAACACATTTCTTTTAACAACGGTAGTTTTTTCATCTTTACTGCAAACTCACTGATGCGCCTGCAGCCTCTCAGAGTTCATGCTGCTCTAAACATTGAAAGAATGATTTAATTTTCTGTTGCTGACTTCTGATTACCTTAAATGGTGTCTGTTTGTTGCTACCAGCAGGTACAAAAAGGAACTTATTTTTATTTGACTATTTTTCTGTCCTGTCTGTTTATCATCTTCCTTCATCTCATCTCAATCCTAAAGAAAAACTGCTACCTGGCTTCATATATATTCACCTTATGAGTTACCTTTGAACTGCAGTTCTAAAAGATCTACCGACCGCAAATATAGAGGAGTGTGTGCTACGCACAGACTGCATCAGTGAGGTGAAGTCACAGCAGAATGAAACAGGTGATGCGCTCTGCTCCACAGCAGCAAAATGCATCAGGCACAAATAAAAGACAGAAAGCATGAAGGGATATGAGCCGACATGAACGATTACGTGTTAAATTTGTTTTTGAGATGGCGACACTTTGAGAATGTAGCTGTGGCTGTGCTCAGGATGCATCTGTCTGGAGCGCATCAACGATCAGAGCTCTGCGCCTCTCAGCTCTAAATAATCTTGGAGAGTTCACATAGATAATGTAATATAAGTGGAACCATTGATTTTTCGAAAAAAATGGTAAACTATTGTGTGGAGGATCCACAGACTCCAGTAGTCTGTAGATGAACAGCACCTTCTTCCTTTTCTGGTGCATTTTGTGCAGCTGAAAACACGGTCGTTTCTGCTCCACACCAGACCAGAGGATTACAATCCCAGTGATGTGACGGGAGTTCAACATGCCTCCTATCCTCCAGAGCCACTTGGTGGAGTTTTAAAAAATATTTGATGGCTCCTACCCAGATCAGCATTGGAGCTCTAGAAGAGGATAGAGCTTTCAAAAATTCCTAGTGAGGCGGGGATGCTGGTTTCTAGGTCGGAACTGGCTAGGAACTTGTGCTCCTAACCTCAAGAAGAGGATGCAAAGCTTTTAAAAGATGCTAGCGGGCTAGGGAAGCTGGTTTCTGGGTTGTGCTCTGGATAAGATGACATGCGTCTCTCCCTCTCTCTAAAGCACTAAGCTACATTACGTGAATGGATATTAACAAGTATTAAACAGCTGACAAATGCTCATTGCCAAGAATCAATATTATATTAACTGACCAATAATATTTTAATTGTCTACACCAGGGATTCCCAAAGTGTGGTGCCGCTAGGGGGTGTGTGAGGTGAAAAGTGTAATGGCTGCGGAGCTCAGAGAAGTCTGTCAAAAGTCACCATTAGCGTAGCCAGAAACTCATTTGTGGGTGGGCCTAAGAAAATGTAAGTGGGCCCAATGAACGTAATTGAAAACAAGTATATTTTGCTTGTGTGTGTGTGTGTGTGTGTGTGTGTGTGTGTGTGTGTGTGTGTGTGTCCTCCGCACATGCCCTAGCTCAGGGGTCGGCAATCCGCGGCTCTGGAGCCGCATGCGGCTCTTCCATGCGGCTCTCTGTGCTTGTAAAATAATGAATGGATATTTAAATAAAATGCTTTGTATTTTACTGAATTAATTTTACATCTGTAAGCTAATTCTAAATGTAGATTGTCTGCGTAAACCTGAACAGGTCCAACCCGGTCTTACTGTGAGACCGGGTTGACGCGTCACGCATGTGCGTAAACATAGGCGCTTTCTGAGCTGAAGACGATGTGAGATTCTGGGACTCTCCTCAGTCGCCACATTGGAGACAGGAACAAGCACAATTCAGCCAAAGTTTCATCATCAGGGAACATTTTCTAAGTGACAAGTCTCTCTGAGAGACCGGGTTTTGAAAACTCTCGCTTCAGTGGAAGGAATCTTCCCGCATGCGCTCTGTTTCTGCGACGTGCTCCAAGCCCCTCTCCACACCTTCAGCTCGCTGTGCACCTTATGTACGCGCTGACTGAGCGGTGTCCAGCTCAGATGTTCAGAAGGAAATCTTTTCTTGAGTGATTTAGCTACATCTGCGATTTGCGTAGAATAAAATGTCAGTTCGTCTGCATGCGTCGGGGTAATTCTTTCTATTCTTTCTCCATCAAAAATAAACGGTCAAATACGGGAACTGTCCGGTTAACACAACACAAGCCCTGCTTTTAACTGTTCTGTTTTCTTGTGAAAATAGATGTAATTTAACTTGATTACCACCAGAGCCAGGCGCACTGCGCCGTTGTCTCGGTCACTGTAAATGAGGGAAAAACAAAATGATCGGATCCTTTTCTGACCTTCCCCACCTACAAAGTTTAATTACAACAATCAAACGTGACAGAGCCTGGATTTGTATTCTGAACAGTCTAAACATGTTTTAAAAAGAAACGTATGACGAAAGTGGCACCTGCTCAGTAAAACCACCCACAGGGTGAAAAATATCTAAATATTGTCGGCAGAGACGGGCTACAACTTCTGGATCCACTTTATATAAATTGTTTTATTGATTACCTTCTTATGAAAGATAACTTTGACGTACACGAGCGACCGGTACCGGCTGCTGTCACCTGTTGTTAGCAGCGCTCTGCTGTCTGAGGGTAGGCCCCGCCCACAACTCCGCAGCTGCTGCAGTGTTTTCTTTACTGTGGGAAACGGGTAATAATGGCTCTTTGATGGGAACAGGTTGCCGACCCCTGGTTTAGCGTGACGTCTGATATGTGTGTGTATATATATATATATATATATATATATATATATATATATATATATATATATATATATATATATATATATATATATATATATATATATATATATATATATATATATATATATATATATATATATATATATATATATATATATATATATATATATATAGCCAGCCCCACATCAGGGCATGGCTATATATATATATATATATATATATATATATATATATATATATATATATATATATATATATATATATATATAGCCATGCCCTGATGTGGGGCTGGGGGATGTGTCAACATGGTCGGGACATAGAAGGGGTTGCGCGGCTAAATAAGTTTGGGAACCACTGTTCTACATGACAGTAACATTTTGTTAGCGCACGAGTTGTAGCAAGCTAGCTAGCATCGTTCACTCACAGAGACACCTGCTCCTCCACAGAACCTCCTGACACCACAGATAAATCTCTCTGCTTTGGCTGATGATTTCTCCCTCTGGTTTGTCTCTAAGCTGCAGTTTGCTCTTTAAGGCAAATTTCATCTGTACTGATCCAAAAATGACAAGGAAAGGGTGAAGTTAGTAGGGATTGCATTATTAAACATTAAAAGTAGATGTCATCATTCACATGAATGAATTTCAGTTCTTTTCTTGTTTCTCTTGGCCTGTTAGGACTTATGTGTCATTTACTGAGCTCCTAAGGTATTTAAAAAGCATTTATTTAGATTTTTAAAAAAGATGCAGGAACCTTGAAATAGCACTTTCTTCTCTATTTCTTCCTCTGCATACATTTTTTCCTCACAATCTCTGGGTGTCAAATCTCAATTATTACAAACTTGTAAATCATAATGTCATTGCACTTGTGAAAATAGATTTAAATGCATTTTTAGTTTACTGCAACTTAAAGCTCATTTGCACCATACATTATTGAACTAGTCAATCTATTTGTTGTATATACATTTGTTATATTGCTTTTCTGTCTCATATATTGCAAATAGGAATACTTTTTTGTATTGCTATTTAATATATAGTTCCATGCCTTGCTGTGGCCCCACTGTAATTTTCCAGTCTGGGATCCATCTACATCTGTTTGTCGGTTTATGTCAAGTCTGAGTTGCATGGGTTAGGGTGCATCTGTGTTGTTACACTTCACTGGTGTGTTACGTGGACCAAATGGTACACAGCACTCTCAGATTAAGGGAAAGTAACAGAGCATAGACAGGACCTCAGTGATACATTCATATGGATGGGTTGGCATCAAAAACATGTTTTGGCCACAGAAAGCCTGATCAAAAATCTGTTTACCTGCAAGGAGAATGTTGAGCATTGTCTGCAGGTTATATACCGACTAGACGCAAGAACCTCAGCCTCACTTTAAAATACTGTAGTATCTCTTTTGAGTCCCAGAATGAAATGTTTAATTATTATATATTTTATAGGAAGAGGAGTGTTTGCCACACACCCCATTGAACCAGGGGACTTCGTCTTGGAGTACAGGGGTAAACTCCTCACAAAGGAAGAATGCGAGTCAAGACGATACTCAGAGACTGAAAGCAAATTTCTCTTTGGCTTTAAGTGGCAGAACCATTGCTTATGGTAAACATGGAAAAATGGATGATTTTTATTGATTAGAGAAATTCCGAGTTATCCCTGGAACAAGGGTTTAATACTTGATAAACTAATTAAAGCACAAATATTAAAATCTTTTGAAAACAATTATTTCAATAAAACTGTTAAAAAATGTAAAACTATTACAATTTTTTTTAATACTTTTCAGCCTGGATGCATCTGAAGAAGATGGCTCTCTCGGAAGATTGGTCAATGACAACCACAAAAATCCTAATTGCGTTATGAAAAAAATCATAGTTGACAACAAACCACATTTGTGCCTTTTTTCTCTGAAGAAAATAGAAATAGGAGCTGAAATTTATTACAACTATGGTGATTCAAAATGGCCTTGGCGCAGTAAGGTGAGTTGGTTGCTATTTCTCCAATATTAACCATGCTTCCAATATTACTCTTGGTTGTCTATGGAAATGCATTTCATCTTTGATCTGTGATATGTTTTATTCATCTACAATCCAGGTGGGAAAAAACAATGCTCCTGCAGCAGCAAAAGAGAACCTATTGGGTGGGGAAGGCCAGGTAATGCCACACACACTGTCATGTTTCCAGTCATGTTCTTATGGGGTCCTTCCATCTTCCAAACACATTTCTATCTGGAGTCTCTCCTTTACACACTTGTATGTCTCTAGTCTGACCCAAGTGGGGCCCTTCCGTCCAGTTCTTCTTGTAGATGTTTTTAGTGCACTATGGTAACACCAGACATGACCTCAGCTGTGATTTTAACATTCATAATTGTATACCGTCTGAGCTTTTACATGTTTTAAACCAATATTTTGATTCATCCACTGTGAACTCCTGGAATCGTCATGAGAGCTGCTCATTACCAGTAGTCCAGAAGGCCCAGCCATGTTCTCAGTTGTCGTTCTGTGCTGCTGTTTCACAGTTAGATGATCTTTTTTGCCTTTGGAAGTCTCTTCATATAGTTCTGAGTCTTGTCTGTTATCTATATTTCAGATGAAAGGCCTTCAGACTCCTGCTGCAGCAGAAGAGAATGAGGCCAGTCCTGTTCCTCAGATGTTTAATGATGGACCAATCCCAGATGAGACCTACACACAGGTAAGAGTACATTCAAACACCTTCTTCTGTGCTAACATGTATGTGGTGTTGTTCTACTACTAAACTGGACCAATGCTCATGTGGCTGTATGGTAGTCAGGTGGACCTATTGGGTGGGGAAGGCCAGGTAATGCCACACACACCGTCATGTTTCCAGTCATGTTCTTATGGGGTCCTTCCATCTTCCAAACACATTTCTATCTGGAGTCTCTCCTTTACACACTTGTATGTGTCTAGTCTGACCCAAGTGGGGCCCTTCCGTCCAGTTCTTCTTGTAGATGTTTTTAGTGCACTATGGTAACACCAGACATGACCTCAGCTGTGATTTTAACATTCATAATTGTATACCGTCTGAGCTTTTACATGTTTTAAACCAATATTTTGATTCATCCACTGTGAACTCCTGGAATCGTCATGAGAGCTGCTCATTACCAGTAGTCCAGAAGGCCCAGCCATGTTCTCAGTTGTCGTTCTGTGCTGCTGTTTCACAGTTAGATGATCTTTTTTGCCTTTGAAAGTCTCTTCATATAGTTCTGAGTCTTGTCTGTTATCTATATTTCAGATGAAAGGCCTTCAGACTCCTGCTGCAGCAGAAGAGAATGAGGCCAGCCCTGTTCCTCAGATGCTTAATGATGGACCAATCCCAGATGAGACCTACACACAGGTAAGAGTACATTCAAACACCTTCTTCTGTGCTAACATGTATGTGGTGTTGTTCTACTACTAAACTGGACCAATGCTCATGTGGCTGTATGGTAGTCAGGTGAACCTATTGGGTGGGGAAGGCCAGGTAATGCCACACACACCGTCATGTTTCCAGTCATGTTCTTATGGGGTCCTTCCATCTTCCAAACACATTTCTATCTGGAGTCTCTCCTTTACACACTTGTATGTCTCTAGTCTGACCCAAGTGGGGCCCTTCCGTCCAGTTCTTCTTGTAGATGTTTTTAGTGCACTATGGTAACACCAGACATGACCTCAGCTGTGATTTTAACATTCATAATTGTATACCGTCTGAGCTTTTACATGTTTTAAACTAATTTTTTGATTCATCCACTGTGAACTCCTGGAATCGTCATGAGAGCTGCTCATTACCAGTAGTCCAGAAGGCCACGCCATGTTCTCAGTTGTCGTTCTGTGCTGCTGTTTCACAGTTAGATGATCTTTTTTGCCTTTGGAAGTCTCTTCATATAGTTCTGAGTCTTTTGTCTGTTATCTATATTTCAGATGAAAGGCCTTCAGACTCCTGCTGCAGCAGAAGAGAATGAGGCCAGCCCTGTTCCTCAGATGCTTAATGATGGACCAATCCCAGATGAGACCTACACACAGGTAAGAGTACATTCAAACACCTTCTTCTGTGCTGACATGTATGTGGTGTTGTTCTACTACTAAACTGGACCAATGCTCATGTGGCTGTATGGTAGTCAGGTGAACCTATTGGGTGGGGAAGGCCAGGTAATGCCACACACACACCATCATGTTTCCAGTCATGTTCTTATGGGGTCCTTCCATCTTCCAAACACATTTCTATCTGGAGTCTCTCCTTTACACACTCGTATGTCTAGTCTGACCCAAGTGGGGCCCTTCCGTCCAGTTCTTCTTGTAGATGTTTTTAGTGCACTATGGTAACACCAGACATGACCTCAGCTGTGATTTTAACATTCATAATTGTATACCGTCTGAGCTTTTACATGTTTTAAACCAATATTTTGATTCATCCACTGTGAACTCCTGGAATCGTCATGAGAGCTGCTCATTACCAGTAGTCCAGAAGGCCACGCCATGTTCTCAGTTGTTGTTCTGTGCTGCTGTTTCACAGTTAGATGATCTTTTTTGCCTTTGGAAGTCTCTTCATATAGTTCTGAGTCTTGTCTGTTATCTATATTTCAGATGAAAGGCCTTCAGACTCCTGCTGCAGCAGAAGAGAATGAAGCCAGTCCTGTTCCTCAGATGCTTAATGATGGACCAATCCCAGATGAGACCTACACACAGGTAAGAGTACATTCAAACACCTTCTTCTGTGCTGACATGTATGTGATGTTGTTCTACTACTAAACTGGACCAATGCTCATGTGGCTGTATGGTAGTCAGGTGGACCTATTGGGTGGGGAAGGCCAGGTAATGCCACACACACCGTCATGTTTCCAGTCATGTTCTTATGGGGTCCTTCCATCTTCCAAACACATTTCTATCTGGAGTCTCTCCTTTACACACTCGTATGTCTCTAGTCTGACCCAAGTGGGGCCCTTCCGTCCAGTTCTTCTTGTAGATGTTTTTAGTGCACTATGGTAACACCAGACATGACCTCAGCTGTGATTTTAACATTCATAATTGTATACCGTCTGAGCTTTTACATTTTTAAACCAATATTTTGATTCATCCACTGTGAATACCGCATCCAGTTTAAGGTCTTAACTATTGTTTACAATGCCCTAAATGGTCCAGCTCCCGCTTCCCTGTCAGAACTGCTCAAGCCATATGTACCATCCAGAAGCCTAATATCGGCAGATCACCTGCTCTTTTGCACCCAAAGATGAAATATAAATCCAGTGGGGAGCGGGCCTACGTGTTTGCTGCCCTCAAACTTTGGAATGCTCTTCACCTCAGTGTTCGACAGGCCCCGTCACTGTGTCGGTTCAAGTCAGTGCCGAAGGCCTATTTTTATCATTAACTTTGATCAATGATCAGGCTGTTAGTGTTTTAGTCTGTGGTGTCTTCCCTGTTGACATGTGCTTACCTTTTAGTATGTTTTTTTTTAATATTTTTAGTCATGACCTTGTTTTTACTCGTTATTTTTTTAAATCTTTTAATTCTTTTAATTTATTATCCCTTTTATCCTTTATAATTTTTTTCAATCTTCTTTGTTATTTCGGGGTTCTTTTTCTAACTTCGTTCGGTGTTTCACTACGGGGAATCGCCCTGGCGTGACCAACTACGGAAGCTCCATTGACATCACATCTGTCCCTGACAGACTGGTAGCGCCGTGCCCAGGCTCCGCCCACCCAGTATATACACGGCCAACCAACCCCTCCTACTCATTCTCGCTTTCTCGCTTTCTTCCCGTGAGAAACTTCACTTTGCTCCCTCAGCGATTTTCAGGCTATCTTTGGTCAGCTGCTTAACTGTTCCCAGGCGTACCATCAGGATCCGTCGCCGAACGCAGTCCCAATGCAGTCTGGATTAGAGCTGAGTAAGTGTTTCTAAGTCACTTGGCACACTTTGCTAGGAACCATTACCGCGTCACGGCGAACTGCTCCCGCGGCTACTCGGTTGTCATTGACGGAGTAGTATTAGCGAGTGTGGCTCAAGCTAACGCGTTGTTGCGAGCTTGTCCTGTTCTTATTTAGCATTTACTCGCTAATGAGCTATTTTGTTGCAGCTAACGTGTCACGACGAGTTGTCCTACATATAAAATATAGCCATAGTTGCAGACTTACACCTGCTAACTAGCTTGCTAACGCTTTTTCAGGCTAATCTGTCACGACCAGTCGGTTTTTCAGCTATGGCTTCCACCCCTACCCAGACGGAAGGGTCGGAACCAAAGGCTAAAGAGGCTGCATCCCGCCTGTGCCCGGCGTCATGTGGGGCTTCTATTTCAGGCAGGGACCCTCATCCTATTGTCATAGTGTGCATGGGTGCTGCTCACGCCCAGGCATCGCTGGCTAACCCGCAGACATGCCCTCACTGCTCCTCCATGCCAGAGAAAAAGGAGGCTTAGAGTGGCAGTGGCTAACGGCCGGAACCCAGGCCTCGGCTTGGCCACACCTGTGATGCAGGTGACAACCATCAGCCGCGAGCCTCCACAAGTTGGGCAGATATGATGGAGGAGGAGCCCCCGCTACCACTTCTGTTCGAGGGACTGGTTGACAGTGGGCTGCTCGATGCGGGTGATGACCTCCTCTATTTGGACATGGACGAGGAGGAAGAGGATTCCACCTTCCCGGCTCAACACTCTAGGCCACCTAGCGGCACTGGGGTGGCATCACAGGGGGACACCGACGTGTACGAGGTTTGCAGGCGAGCAGCTGCAAAGCTCAACATTCAGTGGCCGGCAGCCCAAGGGACAGAAGGGGTGGAACGAGACCTGTATGAGGCTTCCACTGTCCTCCGCTCCACCCAAGTGTTACTGGTCTAGCTCATTTAAAAGCAAACTCCCCACCAAGGGATACTCCAAACTGGAGGTGCATGGGATGGGGGAATTGGGGCTGGCCGAACCCCCAACTGTGGAGCCTTCAGTGGCATACCACCTTCACCCCAACCGCAGATCCGTGTCAGCGTCATCCAGCATCTCTCTCCCATCTAAAACGGATCGTCTCACGGCATCCATTTTTCAGAGGATGCACACATATGCTGGCCAATCTGTGTGTTCCCTCAGTGCAGTTACTCTAATGTCAGCTTATCAAGGAGAAATCCTGGAGGAAATGGGTCGTCAGCTGGACTCTTGGGCGCCTAACCCGGCTTTATGGGATGAAATCTGTGTGGTGAATGATCTCATCCTGCACTCTTCTAGAGGAGCAGTCCAGGGCTGTGGACGTGTGATGGGTTTGGCTGTTTCAGGTGAGAGAGCCTTGTGGCTAAACTTGTCAGGCCTAGGTGACAGCCAGAAAGCTGATGTCATGGATGCAGCATTTGACCCTGTCAAAGGTCTCTTTGGCCCGCCCTGGAGAAGATGACTGAGACAAGCACCCACAGGAAGCAGGAAGGTGAGGCCCTCAATCTCTGCTTGCCTCGTAAACATAACCCTCAGCCACCTCAGGCACCCAAGCCTGGGTTTGCAGCAGCTGCCCCAGCGGCAAAGGGTCAACAGGGTGGGGCTAGACCACAGCGATCGGCAGGTGGTCAGCCAAACAAGGCGGAGAACCCTCGCCCATGGGGGAAGCACTCTTTCGCAGCAGCAGCCGCGAGGAACCGCCCGTCTCACCCCAGCGAGGGCAAGAGGAAGAAGTCATCCTAGCTGCTCTTGCTTCTCCTCTCCAGAAGAAGAGGAGGTTTTCAGAGGTACAAACAGACCTCTGTGTTCAGGGTTCAGACACTCCTGTGGTTCCCGGTCCAGCAGGAGTGGCGAGTGTGTGGAGCAGAAAACGCAGTGTCACCAAACACTTTTCATGAGCATGCAGTTAGTGTCACCAAGCACTTTGTTCCCAGATGTGTGCAGAAATGTTCAGGGGGGTCATTTAAAAATAAAGACGGCTTTTCTGCAGCCAGGCGTTCAGTCAAGGGCAGACAGCTCCCCACAAAAAATAATAAACAAACCCCAATCAGGTCCCTCTGCGCCCAGCAGAGGGCCCTCTCACTCTTCCCACGGGACGAGTCGAGGCTGCTCAGGTGACGGAGATGACGTCACCCAACAGCGGCTTGCTTTCGGCGCGAGCCAAGAGGTGGCGCGCATGCGCAGTTCCCTCGTGGGTTCTGATGACAGTTTGTTGGGGTTCCAGGCTTCAGTTTGCCTCAAAACCTCCCTGTTTCAATGGGATAATAACGTCAGTGGCAAGAGAGGATTCGGCGCATATCCTGGAAAACGAAATTGCTTCACTGTTGAACAAAAAAAGCGATCAGGATGGTGCCGAGCGACGAGGCCCACCAGGGTTTTTATTCGCTCTACTTCCTTGTTCCACAGAAGGACGGGAAATCTCTCCGTCCCATACTCGACCTGCATGTGTTAAACAAACACTTACGCAAGTACACTTTCAGAATGTTGACTCACAAAACACTCTGCCGTTCCATCTGCCCAGGAGATTGGTTTGTCACGATTGACCTCGCAGATGCCTATTTTCACATCTCTATTTATCCTCTACACAGGAAGTTTCTCAGGTTTGCCTATCGGGGCACAGCCTACGAGTTTCAAACCATCCCGTTCGGGCTGCCATTAGCATCGAGGGTTTTCACCAAGTGTGTGGAGGCAGCGCTGTCCTCACTGAGGACTCGCAAGATCAGAATTTTCTCTCACATAGACGATAATCTGATTTGCGCTCCCTCCCGGGAGCAAGCAGCCAGCGACGCGCTGGTGGTGTTGAGCCATCTGACCGACCTGGGATTGAAAATAAACTGGACAAAGAGCAGTTTATTCCCCAGACAATGCACAGAATATCTGGGTCTTCAGATAAACTCTCTCTCTTATCGCGTTTCGCTGTCAGAAGAGGATTGCGTCCTTCACACAGTGTGTCGCACGTTTTCAGTTAGGATACCGTGCGTCGTACAGACTTTGCCAGCGCCTTCTCGGCCTCATGGCGTCAATGATTTCTGTGGTGCAACTGGGGCTTCTTATGATGAGAGATGTTCAGTGGTGGGTGAGGTTGTTAAGACTATGCTCCCGCCGTCATCTCCACCGCAGAGTGAAGATAACTCCGGTGTGCATGTCAGCTCTCCAGCCTTGGAGAGACTGAACAGTTCTCACAACTGGGGTTCCGCTGGGGGCGGTGGTGTCCAGAGTTACCATGACGACGGACGCGTCTCTTACAGGTTGGGGGGCCACCTTGATGGGGAGAGCAGTGAACAGCGTTTGGTCACGCAGTTTGAAATGGGTTCACATAAATGTGCTGGAACTCCTAGCAGTGTTTCTGGCCTTAAAACACTTCCTGCCCTACTTAAGGGACCGTCATGTCTTAGTGAAGACAGACAACACCACAGTGGTAGCTTATATCAACCGTCAGGGCGGGACACTCACCCTACAGCTGCACTCACTGGCCAAGGAAATAATTGTGTGGTGCAGCTCCAGACTCCTCTCAGTCCGCGCAACACATGTGGCGGGCAGCTTGAACAGAGGGGCAGACCTTCTGTCCAGAGGAAATCCTCTGTACGGAGAATGGAAACTCCACCCCAAGGTGGTGCACCAAATATGGCTGAGATTCGGTCAGGTTACCGTAGATCTCTTCACCTCGTGGGAAAGCGCCCACTGCCCACTCTTCTTCTCCCTGACAGACGCGGACGCGCCTCTGTGAGTTGACGCATTGGCTCACCAGTGGCCAAGAGTGCTGCTGTACGCGTTTACTCCT